ATATATGTGGTACGTCGAAATGGTTCATTTTTAGAAAATTTCTATGCATTATAATATCGCTTCTTGCCCAACTGATGAGCTCAATTGAGCGCATTTGAATTGAGAAAAGTTTCGTGGTGGGAATAACTTTGCGATTGAACTGAAAACATCTTATGTTTTATTTTGTTCTCATCGTGAATAATGTGTGGGCGTGCAGGGGAGCTGGCTCGAGTCCCGCTTTGTCTGATCTAATTGCTGATCTTCAATTGCAACTCACTCGCACTGAAGTAGACAGTTGTGTGGTATCTATAATATCTCCGGGTTCCGGCAATGGTAGATCGTCCTTTGCCGAAGGTTCGTTCGTCAAAGCAGGCCTTATTTGACTGGTCTCGGCCACTGAAATCATTCAATCACTACCTAATGTCAAAAATTTGCTACTTTGAAAATTTGGTATTTCTTTTACCAAATTTTTAAATTTTGACAAATTTTTACAAAAAATTTGGTTAAAAAAAGTTTGAAAAGCAATGCCCTTCACAGCTCAATTTTCTAAGTTTGCCATGCATTGATAAACTGCTTAATCACAACCTAATATGATGTATTTCAACAGTTCCTCATACAGCGTTTGTTCATCCTAATTTTCTGAGAATTGAGTGAAAGCGTTGAAAACCAAATTCGCTTTGGAAGACTGAAAATGCTATTGCACTGAAAGTAAATATCCTCATCATTTGTGCACTATTCACCACAGAGATCATCGTGCTAATGTTACCGGCGTCCGTCGCTTTGCCTTCTTCAGCTTTGGCTTTTGATGATCGTTCGTTTTCGGACTTCTTTGCCTTCTCATTCGGTTTTTCGTTCGCTCTCGCATTTGCAACAATTGATTCTTGCGTTTGCTCTGTCACTCCCGGTTTTGTTTTAGTCGATAATGCAGCTGATACCGTTTTTGTTAATGTTTGCTTTTTTTCCAGATCCTTCTTCTAAAAATCAAGTAAACTCACTGGACTTCATAACGATCAAGCGTACTTAACATTGGCTGGAAAAGATTTACCGTTACAGACATAATCTAGCATTAAAACTACACAAAATATAGTATCGAAGCAACAAAACAGTCCATCCTAAGAACATTGGAGATAGGAAGTTCAATTGTCAAAAAATACTGATGTCACGGATGGATAGCGATTGACTGCGGAATGCTGGCAGAATGCGCATTAACTGAGGGCTAATGGCATTGCATGTTGAGCTAGAAGTCATTAATTGTTTATTATCAGTTGCGTAGTCCAGAAAATTTGCTGGTCCGGAACTCCAGAAATTTGATTTTCATTGACTGCGATTCGGTTGCATCACTTATTTATTAATGATCCAAAAGGACTGCTGCTGGTTTGCTGCTGCTATTGGTTGCTTTCTGCAGCTGTTCCAAGCGATCATTGGGCAAATCTTCGTTCGATCATTCGTTTTGCACAGCTGGGCTAAGTTAGAGCCTCTCTTCCAAGAACTCACTGGACGGTATCGAAGAGAGTTCGAGCCTATACTTCGATGATCACCAAATTGGTAATCGAATGCAGAACCTCATGAAGACGGATGAGTTAATGTGCTCATATCGTTAAGTGAGTGGAAAGAAGGACTTAAAGGAAGGCAGAATGCGGTGTTGGTGTTAAGAGAGCAGCAAGAACTCGTAATGGGTTGTAATTGCTGATGAAGCAAATAAACGAATGAATATGAGTGCTGAACGTGCATCTTTTGATCTCTTGAGTGCACATCATTTTGATGGGCACTGGTGCAGTAGTGTGTTACTGTAATGAAAAAATGTCGGAGACGTGGAAGTCGAAGGCGAAATTTCCAATTGTGGACGCTGGAAATGCGCTCGGCTCGAAAAACGAAGTCA